ATATTCATATGCAAAAAACAAACTGTCTTAAGCCCTACATTTTATACAAAAATTAACATCAAATGGATCATGAACCTACATAGAAAATGTAAGATTATAGAATGTTTAGAAGAAACATAGGAGAAAACCTTCATGACCTGGAGCTAGGTAAAGAGGTCTTATATATGACACCAAATGCATGATCCATAAAAGAAAAAACTGATAAATTAAATTCTTGCTCTGCAAAAGACACTGCTAAGAGAAAGAAAATGCTAGTTACAGACTGGGAGAAAATATATGTAAATCACATTATCTGTTAAAGGACTTATATCTGGAATATATAAAGAACTCTCAAACCCTATAGTAAAAAAAAAATTGAAATTAAAAAAAAGTTTTTTTTAAATAGGCATAAGACTTAAATAGACACTTCACCAAAGAGGAAATATGGACAATGAGTAAACACATGAAAAGATGTTCAACATCACTAGCCATTAAAAATTATTTAACATTGAAAAATTCACAAATGTAAAGATGGAAAACCACATTGGCATTTCAATTGAGGCTAATTAATTAATTAATCAGAATTCCACATTCCTTCACATTAGAACATCTTTCTAAATGAGGATTAGAAAGACAATCTGATACTGTCCATCAAAAGCCTATTGCAGAAAATCATGCCTAATTATCAAATATTAAGAACATTTTCTTTAAAATCATAAACAATTTTCACTTTCATCACTTCTATTCAACATTATCCTGTAGAACTCAGCTAGCACTGTAAGAAAAAGAAACAAAAGGTAAAAGAATTAGAAGACTGTCTCTAGTAACAGATAATAAAATTGTCTTATTATCTATCTTTTTAAACATATTTTAAATTCTGTTTCTGATAACCCTGACATATGGACCACTTCTGGGTATGTTTCTATTGTCTGTGTTTTGTCTTGATTTTCACTCGTTTGGTTCTGTATCCTGACATGCCTGATCAGTTTTTGTTGAATGCTGGATATTATGAATGCAAAATTGGAGAAATTCTTAATAACATTTTCATCATCTAGGGAAGATTCAAATTTCTTCTGGCTAGCAGTTAGAGTTGGGGCAGATCACCTTGATCCAATCAGGTAATAATGTTTCAAGACTAGATTTCAGGCTTCCTGAGTTTGTCCTTACTCCTAAGGTGGAGTTTACAGAGATCATAATGAAAGCATGTAGTATTCATGAGGGCCTCTGGGAGAATTCACCTATAAAACTATCTGGGCCCATTGTTTTCTTTGTGGAAAGTGGTTAAAATACTAACGCAAATTTCAATGATATTAGAAATATTTAAAGTTTACTTTTTCATTTATGTCCATTTTTGATACACAATTTATATTTCCCCAGGAATTTCCCCATATACTCTGTTTTCAAATTTATTACAGATAATAAAACTGTGTTTAGTATTATATTATCTTCTTATCTCTGCTGTAGCTGGTTCCCTTTTTTATTCCATACATTTGTTCCTCTCTCTTATTTTTTATCTTGATCATTCTTGCTAGAGATTTGTGTACTTTATTAATCTTTTCCAATAACCAATTTTGGCTTTGTTGTTTCACTCTACTGTACCTTTGTTTTCCATTTCAGTTTTTTTACCTACTTTTATCATTTTTCTCATTCTACTTTCTCTAGGTTTACCTGGGAATTACTTTTCTAACTTCTAACATTAGTAACTCATTAACTTTCAACTATTTTTTATTAATATAAGCATTGAAATCTATAAATATTCCTTGAAAAACAGTTGTAGTTGTATCCATCAAGTTATAAAATAAAGTGTTTTTATTGACATTCAGTTTAAACTATTGTTAATTTTCATGTTTTGTTTGGATAAAATTTTTAGAACAGTAGTGTATTAAGTATAAAGTGGTTTGGGGATATCTCTTTGATACTGATTTTTAACATAATTGCATTTTAATCAGAGAAAGTAATCTATGTGATACCAGTTCTTTGAAATGTGTTAAGATTTGCTTTATTGTCTACTATATGGCTATTTTTTAATAAAAATCTGTTTGCTTGAGGAAAATACATATGCTATAATTGCAGTTTCATTAAATCCACTTTGTTAATTGAGTTGTTCAAATATTTCATATCCTGACTAAATTTTTTGGACCTATTGGTTGCAGAGAGATGTTTTTGAAAACCCCCCTCTATAAGAGTGGATTTGTCCATTTTTGCCTTATACATTTGGAGGATATACAAACTTATAAGTTTAAAATGTTCATATCTCCCTGGTAAGTTGAACCATTTATCACTGTGTGATGAGTCTGTATATCCTTATATATGATTTGGTTTTTATGTCTGCTTTTTCTAATAGTAGTTTAGATACTTCAGTCTTCTTTTGGTTAATATTTGCTTGGTTTATGTTGTTTCTTTTACCTTCAGCTTTTCTATTAGCTTATATTTTAGGAACATCTTTCATAAGCAGTATATAGTTTGACTACATATACTACCTGATAATCTCAGTGATTGGTGAGTTTAATCCAATAAATTTATATATTTGGATTTCTTTCCACTGTCATATATTGTGTTTTTGATTTCCAATGAGTTTTTTACTGCTGTTTCTTTTTTCCACAGCTTCTGGATTGTCTTTTAATTTTTTTATTCCACTTTTTCCTCTTTGCTAACTTGAAATTTATACTTAGCATTTCTATTCTGTTATTGGTTAACCTTGATATTTCATCATGATGTAAAGAATGACAAAGTCAATAGTTAATGTATATCTCTATGTTTCTTCCAAAAATTACTAGGATTTTGGAGTGCTCTAGCCTGATTCAAACCCTAAACCTAGATTACTTGCTATTATTGTCCAGTTCTTTATATATCCCTTGTTAGTATTATTTTTTTATTTTTAATTTGAAAATTATTTCTGATTGTTATTATTCATTATTATTTATTGTTGCTGTTTTAGCAAACTATTTTATTTATCTGAAAAAGTCTTTATTTTACCTTTGTTCGTGGAAGACATTTTGCTGATTACAGAATTCTCGGTTCACAGTTATTTTCTCTCAGCATTTTTATACATTATTCCATTTTGTTTTAGTTCCACTTCTACTATTGAGAAGTCTGAATTAATTTTGTCCTTGCTTGGTAGAGGACTTCTCTTTTCTTTCCACCTGTTTTTCAACGTCTTTCATTTGTCTTTATTATTCTGCATTTACACTGGGGTGCTCTAGGTATGGATATTTTTTTATTTATCCTGTTTCTTATATTGATGGATTTATGTCTCTTATTAGCCATTATCTCTTCAAATAATTACTAGTTCCCATTCTCTCCATTTTCTTCTTCAGGGACCAATTAAGTATATGTTAGACCTTCTCTTCTTTTCTTTTTTTTTAACATCTCTCTTATATTTTTTATTTTTTGTTTCACTATGTTGCATTATTGTACTTTCTTCTATCATCTATTTTTAGTTCTAATTCTTTTCTCAGCTTTCTCTAATATACTGATAAACTCATCTATTTTGTTTACATTTGATGAGTATAATTTTTTTTCAGAATGTCTCTGTGGTAATTTCCCAAATCTACCTGATCGTGTTTGATATTCACTTACTTCTGGCTCTTTTATTTCAAAAATCATCTTTTATTTCTTTAAATTATTTTATAAATAATTGTTTCATTATAATTATTCAAATATTAGTAGTCTTTGCAATACTAAATTTATTGTTTCTTTTTCTATTGAATCTGCTCTTAATGGATTATTTTCCTGTATGTTTAGTAATCTTTAATTGTAAGTTTATATTTGGCTAAATTTAACTATCAGGAGTCACATCCTGAAAAGCCTGAACTAAGAATATTTTTCTCCCAAGGAGATTCACATTTGCTTCTTTTTGGTACCTGTGGATACTGCCACACTGAAGCCACTCTGTTGAATTTCTCCAACTGCAGATTCCCTTGTCTATGAAGTAGCATAAATTCAAAGCCCCAACTTGCATGAATCAGGATACAGACAAACTGATTTCTTAGTAAGTTCTCTTCATAGAGTGGTATACATTTTGTTGCCTATCCTTTCATAGATCTACAGGCTCTTTACGTGTTCCAGCCTTACATATGTGTCTCAAATGGACTCAGGAACCCCCAATCCCTTGGCTGGCCCAAGACTTAGTCCTTTCTTAGTCCGGGTGGCTACTAATCTCCAAAATTCTCATTTCTCAGTATTAGTTTTTGCCCTATGGGGCAGCACCGACTTCTGCATCAATGTTCACCTATCTATATAGTTTTAGCGTTCCTTCAATTTTTCTGGTTTTCACTGATTTTTTTAACTTTCTTATGAGCTTAGCAATACATCTAAAATTATATTTCTTGTAATTTACTCAGTATCTGAGTGTTTTGTGTTAGCACAAAGCTTTATGGAATGCCTTGCCTTTCATACTGCAAGAAGCATTTATATGAGCTATTAATACTTTTTAAAATTTATTGTCACCTAATATTTTCAATTTTTGTTGATATTCCCTGAGCACTTAAAAAATGTTTTCTTTCTTTTATGATTTACTGTTTAATATCTGTTACTTAGATCTATTTTATTCATTATGATATTTAGGTCTTCTACATCCATAAGTTTTGTCTACTTGACCACTTATAAAATATTAGCAATGAGTTAATATCTCCTACTATGTATATGTTTCTATACATTACTCTTTGACTTTCTTGTCATTCATATTTTATAAATGTTGACACTATATTATTTGGTAGACAGATCTTCATAGTGGATTTACCCTTTATAAAATACCCTTCTTTATGTTACTTAATTCTTTTGGCTCTAAATTCAATGCAATCTAATATTGATTTCAATTCTATCCCTTTTTTTTGTTTGTTTTTGGTACTTTCTTGCAATGCTTTCACTCATCTTTTAATATCCAATCTTTCTTACTTACTTGATCTTTCTTATATGCATGGATTTTAGCAAACTACTCTTAGATCTTTTCTTAAATAAAAGAGAAATCTCTAAGATTTTTTTTTCTCCCTTTTAGAATTTCACATGGAGAAGGAACATACCTGCATCTGGAAATTAAATGAGTTTCAGTATCGATCTTCCTCTAGTTAGCTGTCTGATCTTCAGCACTTCCACGAAACATCTGCTTTCTAGCTGTTAGAAAAAATATATCTTCTTCATTTACCATTCAGGTTTTTTGAACTATGAATACAGAGAGAATTCCATGCTTTAAAGTTGTACGTATAAGATACCACCACTTTTAAAATACATTTTATCATTCCCTGTTAATTTTACTGGGAAGAGCCAAATTTAATCCCTTGTAAATTTATTGTTATCACTGAAACAGTCCTGTAATGTGCCCATTTTATTTCATCATAAATCATGCTAGAAAAGCTGAGACCACTACTCTGAACCACTAGAGTACAAGAGGTACAGCCATGCAAAGCACCTATTACATAATAATTAGCGAGTTAATTCTGTGTTACTGATTAAATTGGAGGAAACACATTTTGAGGCATTTCTTTTTTACAGATACTAATACTTATTTCTGTTCGTGGAGTATTTTATGTGTATTTTCTGAGGATCTTCCATTTAAAAATGTTGCTTGGCCTTCTGGTTTCTATAGTTTATGTTTTATGCCTCTGAATTTTTTTTTACAATGTTCTCATGATTGATGGTCCCCTATTATTCTTTACCTACAAATATGAGTATACTAAGCTTGTTTTATGTTTCTGCTTAGAATAGTATATGGCTTCTGGTATACTTCCTAGGTGATTTACTCAAAAATTTATTTTGGCTTTTATTTCAATTCTATAGTTCAAAGACATTGTTTTACTCAATAAGGAAGATGAAGCTCATGGAATTAATTTGCCAAGGAGTAAATTTTAAGAAACTGACCCATAGTAAGCCTATATTATTTTCTTGTTATCCCTTCCTCAAGATATCCATGGCCAAAAATTCCAGGACAGATAATAAGGATGTAAATTGAAAGCTGGTCAGCAAGAGTTATCAGATCTAACCCGGAAACACTGGAAAGATGACTATATCTCGAAAAATCTCTAAACCTATTATGAATTATAGTTTTATAGAAGAGCAAAGTCTAATTTTAATTTACCTTCCTGCTGGGGAAAAAAAGACAAAGTAAGAACTCATAAATAAGTCTAGGATATTTCCAGTCAACTCTTTTTTTCCCCATGAAACTAAGGAATTTTCTTCTTTCAAATTGAAAACATTTTCTTTTTTTTTTTTTTTTTTTTTTTTTTTTTTTTTTTTGTCAATATACACTGTATATGATTATTATGGCCCGTC